CGGTCCCGGCCACTGCAGCCTCAACCTGCTGGGCTCCGGCGATCCTTCCACCCCAGCCTTCCAAGTAGCTGGAACTATAGGCGCGCGCTACCACACCCAGCTAATTTTTTGATTTATTGTAGAGATGAGGTCTCGCCAAGTTGCCTAGGTGGGTCTCGAACCCGCGGGCTCAGGCAGTCCACTCACCTCAGCCTCCCAAAGGCGCGAGATTACAGGCTGAGCCATTGAGCCAGGCGCAATATCTGTTTATTAAGCAGTTTGCTTTTCCACATATTATCTTTTTTTTTTTTTTGAGTTGGAATCTCACTCTGTTACCTAAGCTGAAGTGCAATCACATGATCAAGGCCACCTCAGCCTTGACCTGCTATGGCTCTGACAGTCCTGCTGTCTCAGCCTTCCAAGTAGCTGGAACTACAGGCATGTGCCACCACATTTGGCTAATTTGTTTTATTTATTGTAGAGATGAAGTTTCACCAAGTTGCCCAGGCTGGTCTTGAACCCCTGGGCTCAGGCAATCCTCTCACCTCCACCTCTCAAAGTGCTGGGATTATAGGCATGAGCCACAATACCCAGTGTCACATATTATCTTTGTGACTACCTTAACCTTTGTTCCATAATCGTTTTTTTTTTGGTTTGTTTTTTTTTTGAGTTGGAGTCTCACTCTGTCACCCAGACTGGAGTGCAGTGGCCGCTCCTGGCCACCGCAGCCTCGACCTGCTGGGCTCTGGCGATCCTTCCGCCTCAGCCTTCCAAGTAGCCGGAATTACAGGCATGCGCTACCACGCCCAGCTGATTTTTAAAAATTTATTGTAGAGATGAGGTCTTGCTGCCCAGGCAGGTCTCGAACCCGCGGGCTCAGGCAATCCACTCACCTCAGCCTCCCAAAGGTGCGGGATTACAGGCTGAGCCACCGAGCCTGGCTCATAATAGTTTTTGATACTGAATTACTTTTCAGCTGTGCCTAGGGTGATGAGATGTTTCCAACTAACTTGGCTTGTACTTGATCATTACATGGTAGTTAATATTTTTTATTAGTACTTACCATGTGACACATACTGTTTGATGCACTTTACTTGTATTTATCATTTAATCCTCTCAACAATCTGTTGGGGTGGGTATGATTTATTATCCTCATTTTATTAGATCGGGGAGTGCGGCATAGAAAATTAGAGTTTTCCTAGCAGACAAGTGATAGAGGTAGGATTTGAACCCAGGCAGTGGGAATTCAGAACCTGTTCTCTTAACCAGAATCTTTTAAGGACCGTAGTGTGTTTACTCTTAGATTGCCTGTTTTGCTCTCTCCTAATTCTCATAGGAGGGTAAAGAGCAGAGAATCAGTCTGAACTGTGTTTTGGCTTTGAACTTTCCTAGTTGTTTTGAATGATTCCCACAGGCTACTTGTTGTCTCTTGATGGTCCCAAATCTTTCTTGCTGTCTCAGATGACTGGGCTGCATGGACACGAAGCCTCTGCCCCTCACTCCCCACCTGAGCCAGGGCCCTAGCCAGGCAGTGTTTTCTGTGAGTGCTCCCAGTGTGGGCTTTGCATTTCAGTGAGAAGTGTCGTGCTCCTGCCTGGTGTGACCGAATCCTCTGGAAAGGAAAGAACATCACTCAGCTGAGTTACCAGAGCCACATGGCCCTGAAGACCAGTGACCACAAGCCCGTCAGCTCAGTGTTTGACGTTGGGGTAGGTGGACAACTGGGACCTGTTCTAATCATGGTGTGGGGAATTCGTTCTCGCAACCAAGGCCACTTCTTGTGTTTTTAGTTTCCTCCTCTCCCCTTGAGTGTGAGAAAGCACCTTTTACAATTTGTTTTTAATTTACATATAATTAGTAGTTGCTTTGGTATACTTCTATATTTTTCTACATGCATGAATGTTACCTTTGCTTTTTTGGACTGTATCTTTCCAGACCTTTCTCTATGCATTTATAAGCAAGTATTTCAGTATTCTGTATATCACATAGAAGATATTTTTTCCTTTTTTTAAAAGAGGTCACATTACACATATTGCTCTGAGGACATCTTTTTTACTCCACTGAATGTCTTAGGAGATCTTTCCAAGACAGTAAAAGTAGAGCTTCCTCCTCATTAATTTTAAAGGCTGCAGAATATCCCATAGTATGGATGAATTATATTTGTATTTATGATCATTTGTTTCCAAAGTTTTGTTATTATATGCAGTGCTGTTGTGACCATCCTTCACATATATCTTTTGTGAATCAGTTTGAGTATTTCTACTGAATGAAATTATTAGAGGTGAAATTAGTAGTTCAAAGAAAAATGTATTTTAAATTTATTGGGTCTTGCTAAATTATCCTCCCAACAATTCTTACCATTTATACTAATACCAACCATGAGCTTATTTTCCCATACCCTTGCCCATTTTGGATTTTATCAATCTTTAAAGATTTTTCTAATCTAGTAAGCAAAAAGAAAAATATACTTTATTATGCTAGATTACATGTCCCTGATTAATAGTGATGTTGGACATCTTTTCATTTCTCTATTACCTATTTCTTATTCAGTGACTTCTGTGTTTCTTTACCAATTTTCAAAGGTGTGGGTAGAGATGTATCAGAATCTATTAGGGTATGGGTAGTTCGAAAGAAACCCAATGAATGTTACAAAATTTTACTGTTGGAAAATGAAAAAATTGGGTTTATAATTCAAAGTACAGAAGGGAGCCTGACGAAATCTACTTGGCTGATAGAGCATGGGTTAAAAAAGCTTGAGGAACTCTGCTTTAAATCAAAGCCCTAGAAAAGTTTCTCATTGCCAGCTTGTTGGTGGCAACAAGCAGACTAGAGCTAGGTACCAAGCCAGCATCTTTCTGCCCTGAGCCTAAGATCTAGCAGAACTAACTGCCAACCACACTTTCACTCCCATGTCTCCTTTCAGGAAGCAGTCAACTTTACTACAAGCTTTGCCTCAGTGGATCCTTCTAATTGTTAATTGGATTCTTTGCTAATTAATTAAATCTATTTAGCCTTCACTTTCTGTGTTGCTATCAATTGCTGTTTTCTAAAGCCCTTCATGCTCTCTATATTGAAAAAGAGGATATGGGAAGAATCGAAGGCATTTAGTCTCAGATGTTTCTCTTCCAGGTGAGCGTCATAAATGAAGAGCTTTACCGGAAGACTCTGGAGGAAATTGTTCGCTCCTTGGATAAGATGGAAAATGCCAGCATTCCTTCAGTGTCCTTGTCCAAGCGAGAGGTAGGAAGGACATGTTAAGAATATTTGCAGGCTGGGTTCGGTGGCTCAGCCTGTAATCCCAGCACTTTGGAAGGCTGAGGCGAGTGGATTGTCTGAGCCCGTGGGTTCGAGACTAGCCCAGGCAACTAGGCGAGAATTTGTCTCTACAATAAATTAAAAAATAAGCTGGGTATGGTAGCATGTGCCTGTAGATCCAGCTGCTTGGAAGGCTGAGGAGGAAGGATCGCCTGAGCCCAGCAGGTGGAGGCTGCTGTGGCCATGAGTGTGCCACTGCACTCCAGAAAAAAATTGCATTGGGACCTAATGTGGTGGCTCATGCCTGCAATCCCAGCACTTTGGGAGACTGAGGCGGGAGGATCACTTAAGCCCAGGAGTTAGAGACCATCCTGGGCAACATAGTGAGACCCTGTCTTTACCATCCCCCCCCAAAAAATTGACCATGTGTGGTGGCATGCACCTGTCTCTTAACTATCCAGGAGGCCATGGAAGGATCATTTGAGCCCAGGAGTTTGAGGCTGCAGTGAGCTATGATCATGCCACTGCACTCTAGCCTGGATGACAGAGCAAGACCCTGTATCTTTAAAAAACAAAAAAAGGAGCATGGTGGCTCATGCTTTATAATCCCAGCACTTTGCAAGGCTGAGGTGAAAGGATTGCCTGAGCCCACAGGTTCGAGACCAGCCTGGGCAACTTGGTGAGACTTCATCTCTACAATAAATAAAAAAATTAGCTGGGCGTGGTCTTGCGTGCCTGTATTTTCAGCTACTTGGAAGATTGAGGTGGAAGGATCACCTAAGCTCAGCAGGTCGAGACTGCAGTGGCCATGAGTGTGCCACTGCACTCCAGCCTGGGCAACAAAGTAAGACTCCAACTCAAAATAAAATAAAATTTAAAAATAAGTAAAAAACAAAACAAGGCTGTGTGTTATGGCTCATGCCTATAATCCCAGCACTTTGGGAGGCTGAGGTGAGAGGGTTGCCTGAGCCCTCAGGTTTGAGAGCAGCCTGGGCAACTTGGTGAGACCTTGTCTCTCCAATAAATTAAAAAAAAAAATTAACCGAGTGTGGTGACACTTGCCTGTAGTTCCAGCTACTTTGAAGACTGATGCGAAAGGATCACCTGAGCCCAGTAGGTCAAGGCTGCAGTGGCCGTGAGCGTAAGCCAACAACTTATAGGTATCCATTATGCAGACTTAATCTCAAAGCAGAGAATCAATAAGAAGACAAACCCACTGCATAAATACACACCAGTTATTCTAAACTAAAAACACATTGTGAGTTATCTTCCAGGTTTAGAAGAGAGGACATGAACACAACCTAAGCCAACAACCTCACTCTTCTAAGCTAGCATCATCAATCTCACTTTATCTAGAAGGAGCCGATCAAGAAAGACTAGAGTTCATAGTGTAATATGTGCCTCCTGGCTAATTTTTGTGATTTATTGTAGAAATGAGGTCTCACTAGGTTGTCCAGGCTGGTCTCACACCCCCAGGCTCAGGCAGTCCTCTCGCCTCGGCCTCCCAAAGTGCTGGGATTACAGGCTGAACCACTGTGCCTGGCCCAGTCTGAAGGTTTTTCATGGAAGAGCCACATGGAGTTGACAGTTCCACATTGCCCATCAAACAGACATTCAGGGTAAAGGCATTTCTAATACCCTTTATGTCCAACTACTTGGAAGGATGAGCTAGAACTTCATATTTAGGGATGGAATTTGTGAAGGGTGTTTTGGAAGTGGTTTTTGGGTATAAAAATATAAACGTTGACTTCTTCAGAAAATGTACATGTAAAAACAAATGGAGTTTTTGGGTTTTGGGGTTAAACATGGACAAAGTGGTCTTAGCGATAGCTATGGCCTCCCAGGTAATACTTAAAACAGAAACATTTAAAAGAATTGGTCCTTTATTTTCTTTCCAGGGCAAGGATTGCCAGTAGGGTGTCTGGGTAGGTTGCCAAGTAAAGAGCACTGGTTCTGACTAGTACCGGGCTTGTTCCCAGTTCTGTTTTCAGGATGTGAAGTTCATGCAATTGCAGATCGAATCCTTTACAATTCATAATGGACAAGTGCCCTGCCAGTTTGAATTCATCAACAAGCCTGATGAAGTGTCTTACTGTAAGCAGTGGCTGAATGCCAACCCCAGCAGAGGGTTCCTTCTGCCAGGTAAGGCCTCTGTTCCTGAGTTCCTGGTTTCTGTTTTGGTGAATATCCTACCCTGTATTAGCTCATTTTCCTAAAATAAGATTTTTGCTTGAGTGTTTTATTTTCTGCTTGAGACTTTTTAAAAAAGCCCTATGGGTGAACCCATCCATAAATAAAATACAAAATAGTGGACAGCATGAGTTCAGTTTCATAAATATTCTGTTATTTATATGTTACATAATTTCACAGAAAGAAAACGTAAGATTGCTATAGAGCAGGTGCTGCTGTTAAAGGAATCATTTTCACCATCTCTCTCAATATAATCAATTCCCAATTATCTGTTTGGTAATGGAGAAGTAATCCAGAAATTATATTTGGCCCTGAAATGTACCATCTTCATCTTTCCCCTGACTTTTCCTTTGCACTCTGTGTGGTGCTATGTGGCTGAAAGATGAGGGGTGTTCTGTGGATAGTTCACAGACTGATAATGGCATACATTTCTATTGGCTCAGGTATCTTCATCTTACTTGGCTTAAGGAAGGCTCTTTGATCCATGCTTTATTGTATTAATACTTCTAGCCTGAGCTGTGCTACTTAGTATTTGAATTTCCCAGCATTTGTCTACTGAAATGTTTTTGTGTGTTATTTTCATATTCCCAGTTGAACTATAAATTCTATTTTTTTTTTGAGTTAGAATCTCATGTAGCCTAGGCTGGAGTTCAGTGGCACGCTCATGGCCATCGCAGCATCTACCTGCTGGGTTCAGGTGATCCTTCTGCCTCAGCCTTCTAAGTAGCTGGAATTACATACAGGCATGCACTACCACACCCAGTTAAGTTTTTGATTTGTTGTAGAGATGAGGTCTTGCCAAGTTGCCCAGGCTGATCTCAAACCCTGGGCTCAGGCAATCCTCTCATCTCCACCTCCCAAAGTGCTGGGATTATAGGCTTGAGCCACTGTGCCGAACGGCTCTTTGTTTTTGCATCTCATGCATGCTGAATGCATAGATGCTTATTGGTTAGCTGATACCTTTTCTTTCCTTTTCCTAATCCTTTATGCCTTACCCTCATCCCTCTTATCTTTTCTCCTTTCCTCTTGACCTCCCTCCAGCCAATGTTACTTTTTAAATTTTTCTGCAGATTCTGACATTGAAATTGAATTGGAGCTCTTTGTAAATAAGACCACAGCTACAAAGCTCAACTCTGGTGAAGACAAAATTGAGGACATTCTGGTTTTGCACTTGGACAGGGGAAAGGATTACTTTTTGTCTGTGTCTGGGAACTACCTACCCAGCTGTTTCGGGTCTCCCATTCATACATTGTGCTACATGAGGGAACCAATCTTGGATCTACCACTTGAAACTATTAGTGAGCTGGTGAGTAACATGCCACAAGGAAACATCTAGGACTTTGTAGCAGCCAAGCCAGTCAAACAGGATATTCCTATGCCTTCCTTCCTAGGAACTTAAGAAATCTTCAGCCTCCTACAGTTTGCTTACTGTATCAATTATATATTGCTGTGCTGTAAACCATCCCAAAATTGTAGCCATTTTAAACAATAAGTTACAGTTTCTCATGACTTTGTAAGTTTTCAGCATAATTCTTCTGCTGGTCTTATCTAGGCCCATTTGTGTACAACCAACTCACAATCAGATGGCAGCTGTGATGGCTGGAGGGCTCCAGGTGGTCTCTCTCACAGGTCTTGGTGTTGGCTGTTCTCTGAGCTTCCCTCTCCACATGGGCTCTCATCATTCAGTGGGCTAGCTCAGGCTTCTGTAAGTGGTAGCAAAAACTTGAGAGCAGACCTGGAAGGCCTTTGTGGCACAGGTCCCAAAAGTAACACGAGGCCACTTCTGCCATGTTTATTGTTCAGAGCAAGTTGTGAAGCCAGACCAGATTCTATTCTAGGAGTGGGAAAAGATTCCATCTCTTGATGGCAAAAGCTGCAAAATGTGTGACCATGTTTTTCGGTCTTCCACACATAGTATGTGCCTTAGTTTGTCTGGCCTGCTATTACAGAATACCATAGACTGGGTGACTCAGCAACAGTAATTTGTGTCTCACAGTTCTGGAGACTGGGAAGTCCAAGATCAAGGCACTCGCAGATTTGGTGTCTGATGAGGGCCCACTTCCTGGTTCACAGCACCATCTTCTCACTGTATTCTTACATGGCAGAAGGGGTACGGGAGCTCTTTGGGGTCTCTTTTATAGGGCCACTACTCCTATTCATAAGGGCAGAACCTTAATATTCTAATCACCTTCCAAAGGTCCCACTTCCTAATATCATCACACTGGGGGTTAGGGTTCAGCATATGCATTTGGGGGTACATAAACATTTAGTCTATGGCAGTATATTAGAAAAACTCAGCCATGGATCCTAAATAATGAAAATTCCATGGCCTGTGATATTATTCATTTATTCTTTTTTTTTTTTTAGTTGAAGTCTCACTCAGTTGCCCAGGCTGGAGTGCAGTGGCATGCTCACAACCACCATAATCTTGGCCTTCTGGGCTCAGGTGATCCTTCTGCCTCAGCTTTCCAAGTAGCTGGAACTACAGGTGCATGCTACCACAACCGGTTAACTTTTTTTTTTTTAATTGTAGAGACGAGGTCTCTCCAAGTTACCCAGGCTGGTCTCGAACCTATGGACTCAGGCAGTCCTCTTGCCTTGGCCTCCCAAAGTGCTGGGATTACAGGTGTGAGCCACCCTGCTTAGGTTCATTTATTTATTTTTTTAATCATTGCTTGGTAGGTTATCATCCTAAACTAAATTTGCTGAGATCAAAGAGGCTCCTATAGAAACAATTCTAATACAAGGGAACTAGTTTGGAGCAGATTTATGGTAATATGTATGCTTTTTTTTCCAATGCATTTTTTTAATTTGGGGAGTTTTGAACTCTATCCTCTCCATTATATAGATGAAAACAGAGGCCTAATCAAGGGTGATTTGTCACAGGTCACATAGTGAGTTAACAGTGGACATGGGCCTTAGACTAAGATTTTTGGATTCCCAAGTCTGTGTTCTTTTCTCACCAGACCACACTTTCTCTCTGGTTCTAATAGTGAAATGTTATAGGCGTGATTTTTTTCCTGAAAAGATGGTGATTCATTGAAACTGCTTGCCATAACCCTCTTCCACTTCTCAAAAATCACCTTTTGACCCTTGGTTGTACCACCTGATTTCATTTTTGTCTGTGAAATGTTTGGTTAGGGGCATCGAAATGTTTTCCTTCTTCCATGGATTTGTCATCCCCATGTCATGCATTCTCCTGAAGTCGGCCTGGCAGAAGTTCTATTGGTATGCTGCCTGGTCGTGATCTTTGTTGCTTTTCAGACTCTGATGCCAGTTCAGACTGAAGATGATGGGAGCTACTTGGAGAGCCCCATGGAAATCCCCAAAGAGCTCTGGATGATGGTTGATTACCTGTACCGAAATGGTGTCCAGCAGGTAGGTTGTGGTGAAGCTGTCAGACCTGATAGAGGCCAGGCTGCCTTGAGAAAGACCATGAGCCCCAAGAACTTTTGCATAGAAAGTTTTTACCCTAAGGAACCTGTGGAGAACTGTTCTCCCCCTGGGGAGAGAATGAGCAACAGATAGCATGCCAAGTTTTGCACTCCTGTGAAGCCTTGTTATTACAAGTAGTAACTGATTACCCCCAAGGGAAGCAGCCTTGTATAGGATGGGCTTTCTAGCATAGAATGTTCCCTCCTGTGGCCTCTGGGGTCTCCCAGCTGGATTGCCACCTGGAGGCCTCTCATGCTGTCATCTGCTCTTTTGGAACTCTTATCAGCTTCTGGGAATGGGAGGGGCTAACCTGTTGATAAGTCAGACAGAGGCAGGAGACCAAGTGGAACCACTTGAATTTGGAAGCCTAATTTATTGCCTGAGCTCCTTGATTTGAGACCATTCTGGGCAACTTAGTGAGACCTCATCTCTACAGTAAATCAAAAAATTAGCTGGGCGTGGTGGTACATGCCTGTAATTCCAGCTACTTGGAAGGCTGAGGCGGAAGGATCACCTGAGCCAAGCAGGTCAAGGCTACGGTGGCTGTGAGCGTACCACTGCACTCCAGCCTGGGCGACAGAGTGAGACTCCAACTCAAATAAACAAACAAACAACAAACAAACTGTAATCCTATACTTTACTACTTCAGAGCAATATGCATTCTATATACTATTTTCACTTTTTTCCCTCACATTTACTGAATGCTGCCATATACCAAACACTATTGTAAGTGTTGCCTCTAGTTTTCACAATAGCTCTCAGATGAGGAAACAGATGCTTACAAAGGTTCTGAAACTGATAAATGGGCAGAGGCAGGATTGGAATCCAGTGAATCTGGCTATAGAAGTCACAAGAAGTCACAAGTCACATTTTTTTTTTGAGATGGGTTATCGCTTTGTTGCGCAAACCGGAGTACAGTGGTGCATTCATAGCTCACTGCAGCCTTGAACTTCTGGGCTCAGGTGATCCTCCTGTCTCAGCCTCCTGAGTAGCTAGGACTACTGATGCACACCACCAAGCCCAGCCAGATTTAAAAAAAAATTAGAGAAACAAAGTCTCACTGTGTTGCCCATGCTGGTCTCAAACTCCTGGCCTCAACCTGCCTTAGCCTCCCAAAGTGCTGGAATTACAGGCGTGAGCACTGCTCCCAGACTAGAAGTCACATTCGTTTTCTTTTCTGTTTCTTTCTTTCTTTCTTTTTTTTTTTTTTGAGTCAGAGTCTCACTCTATTGCCTAGTCTGGAGTGTAGTGGCATGCTCACGGCCACCCTAGCGTCTACCTGCTGGGCTCAGACGATCCTTCCTCCTCAGCCTTCCAAGTAGCTGGAACTACAGGAGTGCACTACCACCCCTGGCTAATTTTTTGATATAGTGTAGAGATGAGGTCTCACCATGTTGCCCAGGCTGGTCTCGAACCCCTGGGCTTAGGCAGTACTCTCGCCTTGGCTTCCCAAAGTGCTAGGATCACAGACTTGAGCCACTGCACTCAGCCAAAAGTCACATTCTCAAGTACTGTACTATTCTGCCTTCTCTGCAGAGCTCCTTTAAAAAATAACTTTTGAACAATACATATAACATTGTTATTATTAACACAGTTATGCCTTTAAGTAATTTTATAAAACAAATGAACATAAAGTATCCTGAGACTGATGGAAATACCTTTAGTGCCATAATCTTGTTTGCCCAAAGCACTGAGGGACTTTATTAGCTTTTACCATCTTATGCGTGATATATTTTCTTCTGGTTAATCCTTTCATAGCACTGCAAGAAACATAACTACTTTTTAAGTTTTCTCTTATGTTGGATCTTGTCGTGTGTAGTGTATTTTTTTACTCAGAGTCTTATTCTGTTGCCTAGACTGGAGTACAGTGGTATGCTCACGGCCACTGCAGCCTCGATCTGCTGGGCTCAGGTGATCCTTCCCCCTCAGCATTCCAAGTAGCTGGAACTACAGGCGTGCATCACTACACCCAGCTAATTTTTTGATTTATTGTAGAGACGAGGTCTCGCCATGTTTCCCAGGTTGATCTTGAACCCGTGGGCTCAGGCAATTCTCTCACCTCCATCTCCCAAAGTGCTGGGATTATAGACATAAGCCACCACACCCAGCTGCCTACCCATAGTTTTATAATAAATGCCTAAAGATGTATTGTAGAAATATGCCTGGAAAAGCCTGGGAGATGAGTTAGCCACAACAGCCTAAATCAGATCACCTACCAGGCTGATTCAAATGTCTCACTACACTGCTTCTTTTTGTGCATTCTGCTGATATTGCTAGGTCAGGAAATCATTGCTGATTTTCTGAGAAAATAATTGTATGATTTTCTTCCCTTTTGCAGGAAGATTTGTTTCAGCAGCCAGGCCTGAGGTCGGAATTTGAGCATATCAGGGACTGTTTGGATACGGGAATGATTGATAACCTCTGTATCCTTCAGACATTCAGTTATGTGTGTGTGTGAGAGAGTGAGAATATGATTGAGAGAGATGAGAGAAAGGAAAGAAGAATATTTCAAGGCTCAAAATCTGATATTGTGTCCTCAGCTATCATTTTTCTTATTTAAAGTTTGTATACAGAAGACTTTACAAGTTTAAATAGTCAATATAGCAGGAACTCAGGAGAGCCTGGCTCACCTGACACACAGCGTGGCCCCCTCCAGAAGTTAGACTGGCATCTTGGCTCTGAGTAGAGGGCATGATAGGGCAGGCAGCACTTCTGGCATATGCTTGCTCCTGGGCCTTTTCCTAACCATGGGCAGCATCATCACAGGTTCCTTAACGATGGCCAGCAGCTGCTAGCAACCATTCCATAGCCGAAGCCTTGCTGCTTTTCCTGGAGAGCCTGCCAGAGCCAGTTATCTGTTTCAGCACCTACCATAACTGCTTGGAGTGTTCTGGCAACTACACAGCAAGCAAACAGGTGAGGGGAAGCACGGAGTATCCGCATGCACAGGTTGCTAGCCCCAGGCCTCCTGGGGCCAGAAGGAACAAAGTGGACACAGTCACTCAAGTGGTGTGCCTTAGAAATTCAGTACCATGTCTTTCCTTCTCTAACTTGTTCTTCCTTTCATGCCCTTTTTTCTTTTAATGGCATCACCCTTAATCCCAGCGACTCAACTCTGAAACCTGAGTCATTTCTGACTCCTCCCTCTCCTCACCTCCCACCTGCCCCGTCCCATTGATCTGTCACCTATCCTCTCTCATTCTCATTTGCTTACCATGGTTCAATGTCTTGCATGTAGGATCTCCCTCTGCCGACTTGTTTTGCATTCTGTCATCAGATTTTATATTCTAAAGCTCTTGTCATGTTATTCTTGGTCGAAAACCATGCTTGGCTCTCCCTTCCTGATTAATCATTTCCTTAAATAAATATTGAAGACTTTCTATGATCTAACCTGGTGGTTCAAACAACACAGGCCTTAGTAGAATAATCTAGAAAACTTGCCAATAATACAGGTTCCAAAAACTCACCCCAAATCCGCTGAAACAGAATCTCTGGGAATCTATTTTATACAAGCTCTCTGACTGATTCTGATATGGAGATAGCTGGGATACCCAACTACATTGCAGCCTGATCAATCCTTCCAGTTATGCTCCTGCCAAAATTGATTTCTCATAACGTGTTGTCTACTTATCTCACTGGTTTCCTTCTCTTGCCATTTTTACACTTTCTTTGCCCTGAATAGCCTACTTCTTACCTCTGCAAGTCCAATTTTGTTTTATATTCAAGACTCAACTAAAATGTTTTCCATTCCCTTAATTCTTCTGAGACCATGCAGTTAGAAGTTTGACCTCTAAACTCATGTAGTGTTTGACTTGCGCTTCTCTTTGGCACTTATGCCAGTAAGCAATCAAAGTTTTCTGTGCACAGTCTTACTCATGTACTTGGATCATGTACTTAGTTTTTGAACTATAGTAGGAACTTGAAAAATGACGGAATTAACAAAAAGACAATTCCTAATTCCCCCTCTTTCAGGTCATTTCCACTCTTCCCACATTCCACAAAAATGTCTTCAACTACCTGATGGCCTTTTTGCAAGAATTGCTAAAAAATTCAGCAAAAAATCATTTGGATGAGAATATTCTAGGTAAGCAGCCAAGTATCTATGGAAATCATTTCTGCAGATTGAGAGACTCATTATGAGAAATGGGGTTGAGGAGGGTCCCAAGTCCGTTGCAAAAGAACTAAAATATCAAACTAAAAAACTCAAATAGTTTTTTTTTTTTAGAGCAGAAAATAGGGCCAGGCATGGTGGCTCAAGCCTGTAATCCCAGCACTTTGGGAGGCCAAAGTGAAAGGATTGCCTGACCCAGGGGTTCAAGACCAGCCTGGGCAACTTGATGAAACCTTATCTCTACAATAAATTAAAAAAAAAATTAGCTAGGCGTGGTGGCCCGTGCCTATAGTTCCAGCTACTTGGAAGGCTGAGGCAGAAGGATCACCTGAGCCCAGCAGGTCAAGGGTGTGGTGGTCATGAGTGTGCCACTGCACTCCAGCCTGGGCAACAGAGTGAGACTTCAACTAAAAAAAAATAAAATAAAATAAAAATATAAAGCAGAAAATATTGCTTTGGAGCACCCCTTCCCTCTCCTAACGACACATGAATAAGTACAGTTATGTGTCATACAGCAACATTCTGGTCAGCGACGGACCACATATACAATGGTAGACTCATAGGATTATAATAATACTGTATTTTTATTATATTTTTCTATGTTTAGATACATAAATAATTACTATTGTGTTCCAATTGCCCACAGTATTCAGTACAGTAATATACTCTACAGGTTTGTAGCCTAGGAGCAACAGGCTCTACCATACAGCCTAGGTATGTAACAGGCTATACCGTTGAGGTTTGTGTAAGTACACTCTGTCTGTGATGTTCACACAGTGACGAAATTATCTAATGACACATTTCTCAAAACATATCCCTGTTAGGCAACGCATTACTTTAGTCCCTTTTTTTGCTGAATTGTTTATCTTCTGTGTTTTTTCATACAGCTAGCATATTTGGCAGCTTATTGCTTCGAAACCCAGTTAGTCACCAAAAACTTGATATGGCAGAGAAGAAGAAGGCTCAGGAATTTATTCACCAGTTCCTCTGCAACCCATTCTGAAGTTGTCTCCTCCCCATTTTACCTGAGGCAGCCAATTACCAGCCCCACCTGTTTCAGCTCAAGAGATGCCTTAAGATTATGTGAGGCCACTTGGTAGAAAGAATGGCAGCTGTTTTCTGAGCCTAGGCCCTCCCCCCTGCACCCACCATTGGTTAGTACACGCAGTGCTGTGCGTTGTGAAGACATAGGGGAAAATCTACTGTAATAAAACTGACATTTGATGTTCAGCTTTAGTTATCTAACAGATAGATCCCTATTTTTTTTTTCTTAAATTTTAAAGTAACTATACTTATTCTACTTCCTCACCCTGCCTCCAGGCATAGTCAGTGCCTTTCCTGTAGCCTGGGCTGGGCTCCCCATGATCAGATCAGATATTTAAACAAATGTTGGAGTCCTGAAAGGACAGTGGAATGCAAGAATGCAGGTGGAAGTTGCTGGATAAAACAGGCCACAGTCTGAGGACGTGTGTATATGTGTGTGCAAACTCTAGATCTGCCTGGGTAACTTGGCGAGACCTCATCTCTACAATAAATCAAAAAAATTAGCCGGGTGTGGTAGTGAATGCCTGTAGTTCCAGCTACTTGGAAGGCTGAGGCAGAAGGATCGCAGGAACCCAGCAGGTCGAGGCTGTAGTGGCCAGGAGCGGCCACTACACTCCAGTCTGGGTGACAGAGTGAGACTCCAACTCAAAAAAAAAAAAAGAAAAAGAAAACAGAAGAAATGAGTGTTTTGGTGAAACAAGTGGGATTTCCTGGGCCAGTAAATCCTCCAAACTGTATATGATGTATTCCCCTCTCTCATATGTGTAATATATTTTAATGATAAATGTATTTTTAACAGTGGTTGTTGTGTTTGTTGTTGTATATGACACCTCTCTGGAGCATTGGGGTAGCTGGCCAGGGGCCAAAGAGACATGTGCCTGGCATTCGGGTAGGCGACTGTCACTATTCACATTTTTCAGTCAGGAGATGGTACAGCCATAGCCTGAACTCCTTGACCCTGATGTAGTGTTTGGGGTTGCCTGGGTACACTAGAGAAGCAGTTTATGGGAAAAACCAGCCAGAGGCTGCTGGGAGGATCTGACAGCTAGATCTTCCAGGCATTTAGAAAAGACAAGAGGATAATGAAGGCACATGCAAAAATCGCTTCTTGGCACTGGAATGCCATTGCTTCTGGGCAGTATAAAATGTGATTTAGCTACTGGCCAGTACGAGGACAAGGTGAACGATTATCGAGAGTGGCCAGTAGATGGCGCCAACCGGCCCGGGCGCGAGTCCGGCCGAAGCCGAGAATCCTCTGCAGGGGAAAAAAGTTGGGACAGCCAGACCGGGCAGGAGTGTGAGGAAGAGAAATTGGGCGTCTTATGAAAGCCTGTGAGAAGGAGAAGAGGCGGTGGCGTCTGATCTGGCTGGGCTAGGAATATTCCTAGTTCTGCCTTTTGGGTCTAATGTTCCTTTTTGGGGGCCTTCCCGTCCACGTTAACTGGTGGGTGATGAGGGAACACTGCAGCCCTAGAAAGAGAAATCCGGAAACGTCACGGCCTTCCAGGCTCTCCCTCGCGGGTCCAAGCCGGGATTCTGATGGCCAACCATGGCTCTTCCTGTTGCAGCTGCGACTGCCAGGGCGAGAGCGGACAATGCAAGCCAGGCTGACGATATTTCGGATTCGTGCTTGGAGATTCGTTTCCTTTTCCTTGAGTCTGGTGCAGCAAGAGCAACACCCTGCCGGGCCGCCAGTGAGCGCCCGGGTGATTCTCCGCGATAGACAAACTCACAGCCGGGGCGACAGCCCCGCGGCGCCCCGGCCCGCCCTCCCGCTCGCCAATTGGAGGCTCGAGCTCAGCCCCCAGACCGTCTAAGCCAATCAGAACTGCCAGAGGAAGGCGGTGCTTCAGTCCCCTCCTTCCTCCGGAAAGCGGAAGCGGAAGTGACGTAGGAAAGGTGGGGGCAATCATGGTGCCGCTGGGGAGGGGAGAAGCTGCTGCTGCCGCCGTTGCCGGGAGCCGCGGAGGTAAAAGGCGAAACTAGACTCGGCCTGGGCTTGGGACTTCTCGGGGGCGCGGGACTTAGGCTCCCTCCTGAAGCATTTCCCAGTTTAGACCTCATTCTGGTCACCATAGGGACCCCACCCCTCCTCTGTTTCCATGGGAATGGGTATCCAGCCCCCCTCCCCTGTTTCCATGGATACCCGGACCCTGCCCCTCTTCGCCCTGCTTGGAGCCCCCCCTCCAGCTTGTCTTCGGATTTTCCTGTGTAGCCCTGGGTTGGGGGTCATCCCAAACAGATTCATTTTCCGAGCCTTCTCTCAAGGGGACTCCGTTCAAACTCCTCGTTGGCCACCCTCAGACCTCCTGGTCTTGTTTCGGACACTTGGTCTTCGCGTTGCCGCCAAGGGTGCCGAGGCAGCCCACTGGGGCCCGCGGTACTCTTATCTCTTCTTTCAGATGCAGCGAAATGTGCATCTATGGGGTTGCGTAAGCCAGAGCTAGGGGTCGGGCCGGTTCTTCCCGGATCCGATCCCTTGGTCTGTCTCTGGAAACCACCTCTCTGTCCAGTCGCCCCACTAAGTGAAGGTTCACTTTCTAACCCAGAGCAGAAGAGACAGATAAAGTGCAAAGCCGGACTAAAAACTGAAAGTGACGTGCTGATTATTTTAACATTCTCTGCTCTGCCTGCCAAACTCACATTTGTAGAGCCTGTGTGTTCACTGGTGAAGGAAGAATCACTATTCCAGAACATGAAAGCTTCAAATTTGGTATTTTTCACAAGAGAGCATATCTTTCCAAGATAGTATTATCTTCCCCAGAGAGTATATCGTCATGTCTTTCATTCATTTAGCTCACATTTTCTGAACCCCTCGTGTCAGTGTACTGTATTAGGGGCTGTAGAAACAAAAGGTAAGACTCATAATTCACTCAGGGCAGAGAGCCCACCATACAAGTTTAGCTTCTGGCTCTCACCATTTTTTTTTTTTTTTTTTTTTAGGAGATGGATACAGGGATCTTCATTAGTTCTGCCTGATTAGGGATTAGCCCCTCCACCCAGAGGCTGAAACATCTGTCTGGGAAGGAAATAAGCAATTCACACTTGTTTCTCTATTTGACTATTTGTCAAATATTGGGCTTTATGTACATTATCTCTTTTATTCCTCATAAAAATTTTGAGAGAACAGGAATTACTAGTCCCACCTTATACAGAGGAAATTTGGGGCACAGAAAAGTTCCCCAGTCATAAAGGGCAAAACTGGAAATTGTAGTTAGATAACTGTCTCCAAAGCCTTGATCCTTCTACCATAAACTGCATGGGGCCATGCACTGCTTTGTGGACTGATTTGGGGGATATTTGAGTGGAGTTTTCTTACATTCATATTTATAGCAACTTAGCCTTGAAGTAGTCAGTGTTCTGTTTGCTTCTTTATCCCCTTTATCTTTAGGTATTTTGACCAAATTTATTTGACAGTAACACGCATTTAGAAGATATTTTCAACTACTAATTACTTCACTTGAAAAAAGGCATTGCTTTTCCTTAAAAATGACTTGATGGTTTCAAAGTTAAATTTTTAGAAAAATTCCCAAGGAGGATGATTTTTTATTTGCTTTGCCTGCTCTTTAAATGAGAGGGAAAATGAACCTTGTAGTTGTTTAGGAAGTCTGTGGGTCTTATTGTGTGATCTAACTCTCACTTTGTTCTGTTGCAGACAGGTCATTACCTTTCCATTTCTCACAATTGGGCTAAGCACGATTGAACCATGGGGGAACACAGTCCAGACGACAACATCATCTACTTTGAGGCAGAGGAAGATGAGCTGACCCCCGATGATAGGTTTGTGGATAAAAATGGACTGGTGCCTTCCTCATCTGGAACTGTTTATGATAGGACCACTGTTCTTATTGAGCAGGACCCTGGCACTTTGGAGGATGAAGATGACGATGGACAGTGTGGAGAACACTTGCCTTTTCTAGTAGGGGGTGAAGAGGGCTTTCACCTCATAGATCATGAAGCAATGTCCCAGGGTTACGTGCAACACATTATCTCACCAGATCAGATTCACTTGACAATAAACCCTGGTTCCACACCAATGCCAAGAAATATTGAAGGTGCAACGCTCACTCTGCAGTCGGAATGTCCAGAAACAAAACGTAAAGAGGTAAGTAAAGCAGTGAGTGAGGTCTCAGTTTGGTTTTGGGGCAAGTCCTTACACAACTCTTGGCAATTTTAGCTGAAGAGTAAAGGAGTTCCTGGGGTTAGGACCTAAAATATTTTCGCTTATTAAAAACACATAGGCTGAGCACTGTGGCTTATGCCTGTATCCCAGTACTTTGGGAGGCTGAGGCAAGAGAATTGCCTGAGCCCAGGGGTTCGAGACCAGCCTAGGCAACTTGGTGAGACCTCATGGCTACATTAAATCAAGAAAATTAGCCGAGTGTGGTGGCACATGCCTATAGTTCCAACTGCTTGGAAGGCTGAGGTGGAAGGATTGCCTGAGCCCAGCTGGTCGAGGCTGCAGTGGCCATGAGTGTGCCACTGCACTCCAGCCTGGGTGATAGAGTGAAATTCTGACTCAAAAAATAAAAATAAGAAATAAAAGCACATATACTTCACATTTTGTTATGACTGCCTTCTGGAACTTTTGGGTTGTATAACCACATTGAAATTTGAGAATACTAAAATTTCTCAAATTTTCTTTCCTAAAACATAAATAAAATAGAAGTTTCACTGAAGTAAATCCATATTTCCGATGCTAAAAGTAAGTAGATTTGATAGTGAAGTGACAAGATTTGACTTATCTTTGGGTTGTGTGTAAATGGTTTGTTTTAGAGATGTGTGTCTGCTGGAATGTTTTATTAGTGAGTGTTTAATGAATAATAAGGGCTAGCTTTCTTTCATATGAAATTCAGGCAAGAGGCAGTAACTGGGAGCTGGTTATCAAAAATAAGTCTTCATGTTTATATTTAGCTAATGTGGGTAAGATCATGCATGTCAGGATGGTTTGAAAACTAAAGCATTTTACAAATTTTACTAGTGGTTATTATTAACAGAATAAAAGTTATAGCTTAAAGGTAGTGATATACATTGTCCAGAAACTATTATAGGACATTTAGAAAAATATAGGCCACTGGTAATTACAGGGCCAGAGACTAAATGTTAGATGTTGCCAAATAGAAATACGATGAGTAACTTAACAAAATACTTTTCTCTTTTGTTGTAGTTGAGGTCTTGAAATTGCATACAGC